GCTTTTACCCTGATCTCACTGGGCTCTACTGCGCTGTACTGTGCTTTTACCCTGATCTCACTGGGCTCTACTGCGCTGTACTGAGCTTTTTCCCTGATCTCACTGGGCTCTACTGCGCTGTACTGAGCTTTTTCCCTGATCTCACTGGGCTCTACTGCGCTGTACTGAGCTTTTACCCTGATCTCACTGGGCTCTACTGCGCTGTACTGTGCTTTTACCCTGATCTCACTGGGCTCTACTGCGCTGTACTGTGCTTTTACCCTGATCTCACTGGGCTTTGCTGCACTGTACTCTGGTATGACTCCAGTATTACCCTGATCTTACTGGGGTTCACTGCTCTGTTCAGCTGCTCCTCACAAAGCCACGTGCCAGCAGACTCATCCACAGCAGAAAGGCTGAGTCACTACGGTCTCAGCTCTGCTCTGCCTGAGAGCAGCTTATCGCAGTCCACACCCTCCTGCCTCCTTTACACTTTGCAACAGCTCGAAAGACTCCAAGTCTTAACATCTCTATGACTTTTACAGACTGAGGCTGCTGCTCTAAAAGCAAGGTGTTCTTCCAGAATCCAGAAACCCAGCTGGACATGGCTGGTGTGGGCGAGCAAGTTCATTAATCAATCAATTAATTAATTAATTGCTAACAGAGCTGTACTCACATGTTCGTCGTGCCTTCTCCGGGCACTGCCGGCCACACCCACTGCTCTGATGACCCCTGGGCGGCCGGAGGCACCGGGCAGGGGCAGTGGGGCAGCACAGGGGTAGTAGGGCAACCGGGGGGATCCCTGTGGCCCCGACAGCATGGCAGGCTGGACCATCCACTGCAGGTCCTGGCTGGACGTGATGGCGTTGAGACTGGGCACGAAGGGCACTGTGTCCGAGCCGCCCTGCTTCTGCCAGGGAGAGACGGACACAGGGGTCAGCGAGCTCACACCAAACTCCCCCAGCAACACGTCTCCCGTGGGTCGGGGGTCAGGGGTCAGGTGGTCACGGTGAGGTCGCACACAGGCGCGCTGGGGCAGAGAAACGCTCTGGAGGAGGGAGCCAGCAGACCGGGCGGTACACTCCCAGGTGCGAGCAGCTCAGGTTCCCTGAGAACAGGCAGGGTGCCACCATCATGGAGGAGCAGGAATATCGGAATGACTCATCGGATCCCGCCCAGGGACACAGGAAGTCTAGTCTGCTCCCGGGAAATTGCTCGCCAGCTGTCGGACAGACAAGGGGTCAGGGAGGGCACGGCTGAGTCCTAGCTCCGGCACGGACACAGGACCAGGACACCGGTCGCCATGCCAACATCCAGGTATCCGACTCCCGGAATAACAGCCACAGACCCAGAAACTTGGCAGTTCATCAGCAGTTTGTGGGATTTGTTTTATCCCAGCGGATCACTTCAGGACCCTGCGATTCCAGCGCCCGGAAGTTAAGCCACCACACCACTCTCCTGGTCTGGAAGTCTGGAACCCGGACAAGTGAAATAATCCTGGAGCTCAGACACGCAGCAGACCAGGACGAGGAAAACACAACTGGATACAAACGGGATCCTGTATCAACATGGAGTTCATCTGCTCATCCCGATTATTTCTGTGCAGAACTGCCCCCCTCCTGCCCTGCTGCTCCCAGTACTACAACACTGGTCCACTGGACCCCTGGACCTGTTCCCACCCCTACTGCCGCTGCCCTGATACCCCTGGACCTGTTCCCACGCCGACAGCTACAAAACTCAGACCGTCTGGCCGGCCGTTACCGATCAGTACCGAGCTGTGGGACAGAGGTCACGGTACAGTCCGGTCTCCCCCAGGGGAACTTCCGCCCAGCCTGACACCGACCCGGCGCTGAGTCAGATGACGGAGCTCTTGGACACGTCCGTCCTTCTCGCTTCACGCTTTAAAATGTTGAAGCCAGAAGTTTGGGGCTTCTTTGCCGGCGATCTGGAGCCCCAGGTTCCCCGGCACCCCAGCGGCTTCCCCGCTCATCCTCGGCCCCGTCGGCCTGGTGGCGGAGAGTGGGTTCGGTCCCGCCGGCCCGTCACGGCCGCGCGGGGGTTTCCCAGACTCCGCGGTCTGCGCTGCTGGAGCTCGTCAGACCCGGGGACAAGGCGAAGGTGCTGCTGCCGGGTGGCGGGGCTGGGAGACCGCGGGAGAGGCGGAACTGCGCCCTTACCTGCAGCTGCGCCGCGCCGGACCGGTCCGCTCCTCCCGGGTTAGGGGCTCTGCTCGCTCCGGGGCCCCCGAACGGCCCCCCGCTGCCCCCGCTGCAGTTGCTTCCGTAATCCCGAAACATCCCCGCTGTAGTAACGGTCGACTCTTCCACTACTGAAGCACAGTCGCCGGGTTTGGTACAGGAACCCTCCGCTGTTTTCCCTGATGTCACCAGCACACCGCTCTGACTCACACCCGCAGCGCCCGGGTCTTTTCTTATGAATGAGTTAGAGCGATTCCAATACGGACTTCACCCGGAGGGGGGAAAGCACTCTCCTGGGCTCTGTTTTGAATCCACCTAGATCTTCTTCCAGCTATGTCGACAACAGGATGTGGTGCGTGGTATCGCAGATAATTCTTCAGCGTCTCAGCAGGACTGGGAGAAGAGGACTGGGCGCCGAGACTCATAAATCAGATGGGCATCCAAGAACACACACCCCCTGACGGGAAATGGTGCCGGCCGAGGAGGTGCCGCTCTCTGGTCACGAGGGGGTGACGTAGATGACCCTATATGGTGAGTTTCCTCCCCGTGTCCCCGGGATTCCTTCGTTTTTTTATTTTCTTGTTGACAAGCGGGTTTTAGGGCCACGTGAGGGCTGCTTTTCCATCAGTTCAATAGACTGACTCGCCTTCACTGCCCGGCCTACACTTCTTAGACGTAAAGACGTCGTCTGTGGAATTTAGTGCTAATGCAGCTCTTTCTATACAGTGAGACGTGATTTTTTTCCTCTGTTGCACAATTAAGCCCCGGTAAGCGAGTGATCGCGGGTCCTCGCTCCGTGTCGGTGTCGGCTCACCGGGGGTCACAGCTCTCGCTCAGCAGCGGCCGGCCGGGTCTCTGCTAAACGGACCGGTCACGGGGCTGAAACAGCGCGCATCGCCCCTGACCCGGCAGTCGGGAGATCGGAAAGTGTGCGTTTCAATTCCGTACGGATGCGTGTTTTTAAACTGCACGTCTGTCTACAGAACTGTGCGGGCTTGTCGGACTCTGGAGGAAATGTAGGCCGGGCCAGTGTGTGTTTGTGCCTATTTTTGTCGAGTGTGCGGTGTTTGTGATTGTGTTTAGGAGAAAGGGGCTGTTGTGTTCCACTCCCACGGCGCCTGATGTCACCGCTTTCCAATAACAGCCCTCAGCTCGCGGCCGATTTTCCACCTCTACGCTGAAACCGCGTGGCTGCCGCGTCGTGCGCGCGGCTCTTCGAGGAAAAGAGCTTTCATTTCCCGAGACAGAAACACTGAGAGAGAGAAACACCGAAATACTGAGACACGGAGAGCCAGAAACCGAGAGACACTGAGACACTGAGAGCCAGAAACCGAGAGACACTGAGGGACAGAAACACAGAAACACCGAGAAAAAGAGACAGACTCACCCGATCACTCGTGTCCCTCGAGGGAGAAACAGCTACCAGGCTACTTACACCAACACTACTGCTAACAGCGCTGCTTCAGTACCAGAGCAAGCGGAGAGCCGAGAGCACATGTCTCAAGTTCAAAGTTTATCTATCAAATGCACATCAATACAGCGTACAGCAGGAATGGGCAAAGAAATGTTTTTTTTTTTTTTACAGTTATTACAGGACAGGGCTTTCGCCAGACCCGCCTTTGCTCCGGGTCCGAATCCAGCCGGCGCCCCTGCGCGCTGTGCTCCGGCCTCGGCCCCAAGTTTAACTGGGTAACTGGTTTTAACCTCTCGGTGGAAGTGGGGGGCACGGGGGGGCTCCTGGTGCGCGGAACGAGCTGTGCGGGCCGGGTACTCACGCTGGGGGGGGTGGAGGGAGCGCGTGCTGGGCACATCCGGCTGGCACGCGGGGAGAATTCCCACCTCTCACGGACCGCCCGTCCTGGTCACGAGCCGCGGATGAGTCAGCCGCTGCCGGGAAGCCGGCCCCGAGAGCGGGGAACGGGAGCAGCTGTCGGGCGCCTCTTCCCAGCGCGGTCCTGCTGTTTACCGCTCATGACACAGGCACCGACTTCTCTGAATGGTCTCATCCTGAGGCGGGAAAAACAACCTCTGTTTTTATGTAAAGTGCAAGATAAGACCTAGGAAAAAAACAGGAAATTCGTGCACCCGGTGAAAGACGTAATTGTTTCTAATCTGGACCGTAAAAATAATGTTTTGAGGAACTGGCGGCTGTTTTGCGTCTTCAAATAATTATTTCCTATAGATACAGCACTACAGTAGATTCCAATACGTTTTAGTTGACAATACAGTACTATAAAAAAGTAAAACAAAAAATCAAAGTAAATTTTATGTAATATACAATTTAGTTGCTACTTGAAATATATATTCATTCTCAATAACAAAAAACGCGAATCGATTCCTTCACTGCAACCTGAAAAGGCGAATAACTACATATCCCAGCGTGCACTGCTCAAGCGTCATTCGCCTCGCCCCTTCCCAGCTGTGACGTCACGGGCAACCCCTTTCTCGACTTGCAGAGCAAAACCGGCAGATACCGGAGCGCCGGCTGACGTAAAGCTCGCCGGCTGTGACTGTGCGAAACGAAACTGCGTTCAGCTCCGTGAAAACCAGGGCGTGACTCAGCAGTCGTGGGGAAACGTGCTGTCCACCCGCAGGGTCTTATCTGACGCGGAAGACTCGTGCTGCTGCGGCTCAGCCACAGTGCAGGTCGGAGTCGCCGGCGGAGAGGCTCCAGTTCTGCCAGACCCAGGCTCGCTTTGTTTGGGTCCAGATCGATAATGAACCCACCCGTTTTCTAACCGCTTCGTCCACTACAGGGTCTCGGGGGAGCTGAGGTCTCTTCCAGCAGGCAAGATGGGGTACACGCTGGAGGGGGCCCCAGTCCATCCCAGGGCAGACACACACACACACTCGCACCAGGGCCAGTTTTCATCCCCCTGCTACAGCATGAAGGCTCCACAGACAGTACCTCTGCACTGACCCTGCCCTCTGACCCCCAGCTTCCCTCCCTGTCCGTGTGCCTGTGTCTCATGGGGAGCCAGCTGGGGGCTGTGAAAAGACACATTCAATACTAATACAAGAAACTGTACATGGGAAATCAAGTGATCTTATCTTAGCGAAAGAGGCAAGTCTTTCCACAGAGAGTAACGGGGGGGTGGAACAGCTGCCCTGGGTTCTGGGAGACCTCTGGAAGCACACAGGGAAGAGTGTGGGAGCTGCTGTCTCGTTCTGAAGAACAGCGGGACTCCGACTGTCTCGGGGTGAAACCGGCAGAGTGAGTCACAGCGCGGGCAGCTGGTGTGCAGCAGACACTCGACACCGGGAGACAGTGGGCTGGGGTCCCGTTACACTCACCTGCAGGGACTCACACACCGACACAGGCAGAGCCAGAGACACTCACCCACACACACACAGCCACCTAGAGACACACTCACTAGCAAACACTCACCCACTCCCACACACACAGACACGCACTCACTAACAAACACTCACACGCACAGACACACACTAACACACTCACAGCGCAGTCCTGGACTGACAGAAACAGAAAGTGTGACACTGCTGAGGCAGACGTGGACGCTGTGTTGGGGTGGTGCAGGGACACGTGGAGAGAGCTGCCAGTGCTGAACACACGGTGGCCAGGCAGAAGCAGGTGTGACTAAGCGCCCTGGGCTCAGATCCCCCGAGACAGAGCAGGCCTGAGTGATGTGTCACCCCTCTTTCCTCGAGTTTCACCAGCTTCCTGCTGGGCTGGGCCACTTCCTCGCCCGCTCAGGAGTGAGACAGCAGGGGATTTCCACACGGAGCCAAGTGTCCGAGCTGGAGGCCAGGACTCCGCTCCCGCCAGCTGCTGCAGCTGGATCTCAGGCAAACACTGGAGTAGAGCCCAGTGAGATCAGGGTAAAAGCACAGTACAGCGCAGTAGAGCCCAGTGAGATCAGGGTAAAAGCACAGTACAGCACAGTAGAGCCCAGTGAGATCAGGGTAAAAGCACAGTACAGTGCAGTAGAGCCCACTTAGATCAGGGTAAAAGCAGAGTACAATGCAGTAAAGCCCGGTGAGATCAGGGTAAAAGCACAGTACAGCGCAGCAGAGCCCAGTGAGATCAGGGTAAAAGCACAGTACAGCGCAGTAGAGCCCAGCAAAATAAAGGTAAAAGCACAGTACAGCGCAGCAGAGCCCAGTGAGATCAGGGTAAAAGCACAGTACAGCGCAGTAAAGCCCGGTGAGATCAGGGTACGAGTGTGATTAAGCCACAGAAAGCCCGGAGATGTGAACCCTGTGTGCTGTCAGGACGGCCTGCTCCAGCCTGCACTGGCCCTGCTCTCCTGATGATGTCACAGGTTGGGAATGCTGCAGAGCCACACCCCTCAGAGCCCTGCGCAGACACACGTGCCGCACACACGCTCCGACAGGAACATGCACTCGCGTCAGCAGGTCCAGCCCAAACTAGAGCGCACCAGACGACTTGCTGCAATTCGCATGAGTGACCTCCAACTGCGCTGCACGTGTGGAGCTCAGAAAGAGAGCATGCAGACTCCACGCAGACAGGCTTTGCAAGCTGGACTTGAACCCAGGTCCCAGGAAGGAGCCGAGAGGCAGCGGCGCCGACTTTCCCTGCAGCTCCTCTCGCTCCCCGTCTGACTCAGCGTTGCTCACTCCTGGCAGCTCCAGGCCTGAACCCCCTTCGGGAAACACACATTCCTCTCTGCACTTCATCACAGCCCAGCGCCGACCACAGGAGCCGCGAGGCCTGGCTTCACTTCGCCCATCTCCGGCGATTCACCACACCACACGTACCAACACTCAGACTGGGGCTGCAGGGGGATCCCTGATCTGGAGAGGGGAGATCGGGACACCCTGGACCGGATCAGTGATCTGGAGGACAGAGAGATCGGGACACCCGGGACCGGATCAGTGATCTGGAGGACAGAGAGATCGGGACACCCGGGACCGGATCAGTGATCTGGAGAGAGGAGATCGAGACACCCCGGACCGGATCAGTGATCTGGAGAGAGGAGATCGAGACACCCCGGACCGGATCA